GCATGCATCACATGGTCCCATGCAAGGGCGACGCGATTAGATTTGTGGCTTGTGACGCTATCAAATCTGTAGCCTTGACACAAGTTTCACGAGAACCAAAAATGTGTTATTTATGAATAAATATTTAGGCACCGCAGCAATTATTTCCACTGACACAAGGGTGGACAGCGTCGGGCACTGGGGCAGCACATCACTTCTATTTTTAGTACTTGACACTGCCTTTCTGGAGGGGTTCAGCCAATCATGACAGTAATTCCCACGACTGATTGCGCGACTGGATGCGGTACTGGATGTGGTACTGGATGCGGTACTGGAGATGATGTCCAGTCGCACCTCGCGCGGAACTGGATGCGGGTTTTGCCCGTTGTGATAGCACGTTCTCTACCGTTCGAATAGATGCTATTTTCAGCCGGACCTGGAAGCTTTGGGCGGCATGCAACCCCACTACCATTGTGCTCGGAACAGAAAAGTCGCTCAAAATCCGTCTCAGTTGGCCTGGCGTTGCCTTGGGAAGCTGGTGATTGTGGTGACAGAGTGATGTTCTCATCTGACTGCAGCCTGAAGTCGAGCGTTCTGTACGGCCTCTGTTTACGTCTCGTCAGGTCTTGTCTGAGCCAGACAGCTGCTGCATTGTCTTTCTGACATCGGTGAGCTCGTCCCGATCGTTATCCACGGACGAGGGCCGAATCACCAGACGACACTCCGTTGCTAGCGGGAATATGAGCGACTATCCACTAGTCGCATTCACGTCTCGCAAGCATGTCGTATTGACCGGTGTCGTGGTATTTCAGCTGAGAGACAAAACTTGGAAACAGTCGGTATATAGCTCGGCGTGCCGCCTACACTACATGACGGCACTTTGAACACGTCCGTCCAAGCCCTGGATATTATAATTGTTCCACTGCCCTTCGCGAACTGGACCTTGTTCCAGAACCACTATGTGTATCTTTATGCTGCTCGTACATACGCACACTCTTCATCTGCTATATGCGGATGTTCATTCACGTCCAATGCGAGCACTTATTAGTTCGTACTCGCCACATGGGTTTTTGTTTTTCGAGCCTTCTAGTTATCGACCGCCTGCGGTGGCTCGGGCGCAGGCGGCTAGCAGGATGAAACTGGAGCGGTGGGGTAAGCGGAAGTAACAGGAGATTTAGGGTCGATCAGGGGCATGCAGCGCTGGGTATATAAAGAGCAAGGTTGGGAACAGGGCATGTAAGGGGTTAGCAAATTGTAAGGAACCAGTTACTTACTTTCAGGCCATCTGGTTAAAGATACGAGTAATACGAGTAATAAGAGACAACAAACGGGAAGTTACGAGAATGCGGAGTCGGCGCGGGTGACGCGACTTCTCCTACGTTCGATGAGCTCGATGTCGTGGCCTGTTCATAATCATCTTTGATTTCGCTGATGCTTTGCCGAAGAAGGGGCGTGGGCTGGAGGGAGCGGTGTTGTGGATGGAGATATAGCAGCCTGGCACACAGACGCGCGAGGGAAATGTTGGAAGCGCGCCGAAGGACACTCACTGTCCTAAGAGCACACAAGTGTCCTGAAGAGGCGCAGACTGAGATGACAAAAAATACAATTGGGGGGAAGAGAGCAGGTACAAGTACATAGTCGAAGAAAAGAAGACAGCGAGAAGAGAAAACTAAGACGGGAGGGCGAAGAGGGTAGGTATCGGTAACCTCCGGCCCCGCCCGTATACCTTGGTAGGTCCGAGTCGAGCCGGGTAGGTGGGATTCTCACTGGGCTTGCACTTTCATCTTTCAAGCTCAGCTCAATCTGGAACGCTGTTCTTGCGTACAAAAGCCACCTCCGCCAGTCACGCCCGGCGGGCTGTGAGGCCTTGAGGTACTACACACCGGCTTTGCGGGTCGACTCAAAACTGCCAAAAAAAAATGTATGTAACACGCACAAAAAACGACTCAGACGGAGCACAACAGATAGCATAAATACCACGATATTAACGCCGAAAGCAGCGGAGCGAATAGCTCAGAGACGTGAGGGGGTATCACCTACACGCGCTACACTTCATATAAACCACCGCTCAACGGGTATCAACAGCATGAGGATTATAAAGGGACCACAACGGAGAGGGGGTGGCATGCGAGGAGCAAATCACTGCGCGTTCTCATCGGCAAGTACGAGGAGCGCCATGTTCACGACGTTCGCGTACAGCGTTGCGATGTTCGAGGTCGGAGTGGGCGCCGCGGCCGACGACGCGCCAACAGCAGTACTTGACGTGGCAATGCTGCTCGTGATGAAGCTTGAGCTAGCGGCGCTCGAGGACAAGGAAGACAAGGACGACCAGACGCTCGAAGACGAAGAGCTGCTCCAGGTCGACGAGACTCCAGGTCGACGAGACCGTGGGCACTATGCTGGATGTCGTCGGAGGGGGCGGTGTAGATGTCGTGAATAGCGCCTTAAACGCCGTAGGTGGTGGGGGCATGGACACAGGGTTGCCACCGACGCTCCAGCTACCCCACGCGAGGTCGTCGAAGAAACCGAAGAAGTTTGCAGTCGCGGGTGTGCAGTCGAGGCCGTTCTGTGCGCAGCCGGGGCACTACGTTACGCACAATTGTGAGCATTTATAACATAATAGATGGCCGGCAGAGCTGAGAAGAAAAAACGCGTACCTCGTCCACAATCGTTGCTTGGGCAGTCTTACCGTTGAGTGAAATTGTAATTTGCTGGCCGCACATGTGCCCGGCGATTGACCCGAATTGCTACGGAGTCGCTTGTGAGCGTGCGCGTACGCTCGGCGCCGTCAGGGAGGCTCACCGGATAGTTCAGCGCAACAATCTATGAATGCGCTGCTGTCAATATATGCGCACTAGGGGATGGACGTAGTACACGTACCCAATCGCTGTTATGGTCAAAGCCTTCGTAGGCGACCTGGTTCCCGGTCTCGGGGAATACATGCTGAAGCGCGCGTTCTGGAAAGTTTGGCTACGCTGAGCGGGGTCGAGCTCGATGTGGAGGCTGCTCACGCCAGCATGGCGGCGAAGAGCATCATGGGGTCCTGCAGCGACCAAGACGACATGCCGCTACCTCCTCCTCCTCGACTGCGCTCGATTGTTGATAAATATGGTGGTCGCTCTTGCTTGTGTATTTCTCTTGAGCTCTATAGGTCCTGATTGTAAAGCACCGGCGCTTTCGCGGACAGGCGTAGCCGGAGGGCAGTTCCATGACACGATGTGGAGAGGTAACAAGGGCAGGGTTGGGGGTCGACTTGCGAGATCCGTGAGCGCGAGCGACGTCGGAGAGTCATGAGCCTAGACTGACTGGCGACAATGAGAGAGCTTGCCATTCGGGCGAGAGGCAAGCTGTGGTGGTGCGAGGAGATCGGCTTCGAAACAGCAGGCCCCAGTGATTGGTTATCGAGGTCAAGTTCACGACGAAAGCACACTGACGCTCGAATGACTAGGCCCATAAGGGGTTCGCGGAAGGACGAGGTGGATCACTCTCGCTGGGTATTCCAGCAGGTGAGGATAGCTGGTGAGATCGTCGCCGCGCGTGTGCCTGAGAAGCCGACGGACTTGTAGACCGAGTTGATCAGTCCACACCTGGACAATCGACAGCACAGCTGCTCACCTCTGGTCATCCTTCCCTTTCGGGACTACCTTAGCGGACGACTTCTCCGGCGACGGGACGGGACGTTGGGCTTGTTCGAATCGTAGGGGATTGGCAGAGCTCGGCTTGAATGCTTTCGCCTTCTTTCCATTCTCAGCAGACTGCGCCGGCACCGGCTAGGGGAGTGCTATTGCTTGCCCTTCGGTGACGTTCTAGACGCTCTGACGTGCGGCTGCGACTGTTGTGGCCACGGCAGATGCTGCTGAGCGGGTTTGGGGGAGAGCGTGCTGAAGGGCGCCAGCTATGAGCCAACCACGGCAAGTGTGCTTGGGGTGACACGCGACGGCGGAGGGGATCTGTTGTGCACGAAGCGACACAGAGACAGTGTGACGAATGGCGGTGAGGGACAGGGATGGTGGTGGCTGGAGCAAGAGACGTTGGCTAGTCGCGCGAACGATGCAGCCATGGCCATTTATGGTAATCAGGCCATGAAAACATTTAAAACCTTCGACTCTTGCGGTAGCTTTCCCATCCAGACTTCTTCTGTGCAGAGCCCCGCAGATCAGGTAGGTAAGTCATTGTTGTATTGCCTTTATGTATTTCTTTGAGCTAGCTACCGATAGCAACGAGGACACAAGGGTGCAGGCGCTTTGCTTTGCTTGACGACCGCGGGTTAGGATGCAGGTTAGGATGTGGTCAGAGCAGTAGCTAAAAGACATAATGGATCTACTTCCTACAGCGATGCATGCCTTGTCAGAGATACAAGAGGCCGCTTAGCTGCGCTCCGCGACTGCTGTTCTCGTGGATGCTGCAGGCGGGAAATTTAAGCTCAAAGCTTTCGATTTCACTCGCTCCGATGAATAGATAGGGCTGCAGCATAGCCGCGCTGCGCGCGGCGTAAGCAAAGGGGAGTGGAAGCAACGATTGGGCCCAATCAAGGAGAATGACGAAATAGGGGCCGTCGAAAGGTATATAAGGCGAGGGATGGGAGAGAGGGGCCCTGGAGAGAGTAAGACAGGAATAAGAAAATCATTTCTCACTTTGAGGGCATCTGCGTAATAGTATAGTAATGTCGATTGGAGAGGGGATAGATGGTACATGCGCAAGATGCATTCAATTACTGTATGTTACTCTCGGAAGAATTTATCCAAAGGACCTGTGACCGCCACCTTCCATTTCTTCCTCCGAGTCCCAGGCTGTTTCGCAGAATTGCTGGGATAATCAATAGTTCTCTCTGCCAGCTCGCTGCTTGACACCAGTCGGTTGCACCTCATCTTCCCTAGCTTCTTGTGATATTTTTCACTTGCTGCCTTTGTGCGGGTCTCTGTCCGGGGCCGACCTGCCTTCTTGGTCTGTTCCTATGCAGAAAATGAGCAAGCAGCAGTCTGACCAGGCTATTGGCACACCTTTTTGGGTCTGCCCCCTTTTGACTTTATGCCCTGTTTTTGCTTCGTCTTTGCAATTTTCTCTAAGCTTGCTGGGTCTTCCTTGTTGCTTACAAATGGTCTAAATTCCACAAGCCCCAGTGTAGTCATAAGGCCCTGATTTGTAATATCTTGCTCAACAGCTCGCTGGACTCACGGTGAATGACCATGACTGGGACTCAAAAATATGCTCAAAGCCACACCCACCTGAGTAATTGTTGGTGAGCCCCATTCTTTGGGTGGTTGAGCAGCCATGACCGAGTACACAGACTGGAAACCTGGAACAATAAACTCATACACTCTCAACCACTTGAACTTCTTGTTGGAGTACTGGAAGTGCGGTGCATCATAAGATGTGCCTATTATCTGTTGAGCGGCAGAGACTCCACTGCTGGAAATTTGTGTAACTCACCAATAGTGTGGTCTGGATCAAGGAGACCATTATTATGAAGATATCGAAGCTGGTCCAAGGTGACGGTAGCATGTGTTCGCCTGTAGACTTTGACCAGCGCTGCATAGTGGTCGTTAGAGTTATAATGATATGCGAACGGGTTGTTGCTGTTGCAGTTCACAGCCACCGTGTTGTAGTAGTCCTTTGTATTCCAGAAGTTTGTGTAGGCTTCAATGCCCTTGTACAACTTGCTGAACAAGATGTCGTCTTGACAAATGAAGCTGGTAGGCAGCAGTGGGTGAAGGCAAAGCATGTGACAGAGATCATTGGCTGTATGCCGACCAAAACCATTGAAGATGCTCTGCACAGTGCAAAGGACCTCTGCAATTGGTCGCCGCCACCCTGACAAGTCTCGGAGTACGGCAAGTCTCCATCGCAGCAGGGCTGATCCCGCAAGTTTGCACTCCCACACCCAGTCTGGTCCACCTTCGAGCCATCTGTCAAAGATGAGAGACCACGTCTAGAAAGAGTTAATTGATACAAAATTCAATGTCTATCATTCAACTTACTTCTGTTCCTGGGGTCAGCTCAATTTGCCTGTAAGGCATGCTGCGGGAGATCACTATGAAGGATACCAATCTGGAATAGTCTCCAACACAGTAGACCTTCTCTGGTGTTATGATTGCCAATGAAATGTTGACATATCGCTGCTTGTCTGGGTTTCGAGACACAGGGTCATTAAATTCAAGAGGGATAGGAAAACTTCTCATGATCTCGCCTCGAGCGGCTGAAGGACCTGGTATATCCTGCGCAACTAGCCTGAGGAATACATCCTGAGGAAGGCTGAATACGCATGCTTCAAGGCTGAAGTTGATAATGAAACAGTGCTGCAAATTAAGCTTAGAAGTCTAGCTGTGCTGCATGACGTGGGGGCCTACCAAACCACATGCAAGCGCCAGCCGCTTTCCTCTGCAAGCTACTGCAACTTCTCCTGAAGCTCTTGGCTGCACTAAGTAGTTGTATGATTTTTCTGATGCTCTGGCTAAGTCATGGTGACTAGGCCATACTCCAGCAAGAGGGTGCTGAGCTGCAGAGATAGCGTCGAGGCTGGGATGGTATTTTACCCAGTGTACTTCACACTGCTCTTTTTCTGCTGCCAGAGTTCGAGGGAAAAAAGCAATCCAGCCTATGCAGGCCAACATTTATATTATACAGCGGCTCACGCAGCTGGATAGAGGAACAAACCAGTCATTGGTTTTTTGGCTGCGCTCTTAGCTGTCACATCTCGGTGCACTCGATGGAAGAAGCCTTTAATACAGGGTTCTTCTGGCATTTCTATAGAAGATGTATGGCCGTGGGATGGCGAAGAGAAGCAGAGAAGCAGAGAAGCAGAGAAGCAGAGAAGCAGAATCACTCGGTCACTGGCTTTACTTTACTGACGTCATCATGCGCCACAAAGGCCTCAGCCCACAAACTGATGTCACGTCTGGCGTCATCTTCCTCGAGACTCTCTTCCTTACTGCGTTGCCAGTGGTATCGCATCCGGTCAGCCTTGGTAAGCCATGTGCGGCCATTGTCGTGTCAACTACGTCCTGACACTATTTCTCCATAGCTACAGACCGCCTCTTTCGAAGTCACGATATTGAGCCAGTTCTACTCGTGCAAGGCCTCACTGAGAAGATCCGAGCATTGGATCCCCAGAATGGGCATTATCTGCCATGTTCAGGAACGGATTGCTGCTATGGTGGCGGGACGTCGAACTTTGCAATTGCGTGGTTGGAGGAGGCGCGGTAGCAAAAAGTCGGTCGAGGGCAGCAGAGTCAAAATCTGAGATTGACGAGGCCACGTGACTATTTGATCCGAGCCGTTCTGTTCGAGCTGACACTCACCAGTTGCGCCTCTTTCCAAAGGCATCGTCGAACACGCTTGGCAGTCGGGACCTATGTTGAGCTGGAAGGAGGGTATGTGTCGCCTGTTTCTCTTCGTTGGCACGCTTTATGACCGCTATCCTGCACAGACGTCAGCGCTGACGCTCTTGTGCAGTTTCTGCCGCACCTCGAACGCAACTCGTCTCTGACGTTCACGTCGGTCGTTACGCACAGCCTGTTCCGCGGCGCGTGGACGGACCCGACAAGCAACAGTATGATATCGTTCCTCGACTTATCGCCGCAGCACAACCCGAATCAGACTAAGCAGGGACTCGTGTGTAACAAGAGCAGCCCATCAAATTTGTTGAGCGGCGACTCGGAGCGAGGGCAGCCACATCTGTTGAGTTCAGTCCGCTGTACCGCGTACGTCGTCTAATATCTCGATCTGGTGCGGCCGCACGGCCATTGACGACGTGTACAGTGGCGTGTGACGACAACACAGAAGGACAATAAAAGGACCGAGTGCCTGTTTGCTGAGATCTTCGTCGGCAAGTACCCCAAGAAGCTATAGTGAGCGACTACTGCGCCACCCTCGGACGTTCGTGGTGCACTTTGGTCGACCCGACCCTGTGCACGCGGATATTTGGTGGGTGCGTTCCCTCGTCTACTTATCGGCCCTCAATCTCACAGCGTCGTTCAGCCTCGAGCATGCTGGCTCGTGCCGCTCGTTCGCAGCCGACGACCTCGTGTACATCATCCAGATGGCGACCGAGGTCATTGCAGGCACACCCTCGACAACTTTGTTGACGTGCTCACGGCCATCGTCACTACCCTCGACAGCACAGTAGACGACATTCCGTTCTCCCATGCTCTCGACCAGCTCGTCGAGGCCGGCATTCCCGTGGATCCTGCACCAACCCCCTCACAGCCTCGTCCCACGCTCACCCAGGCCTTCTCAAACGCCGTCGTCACTCATCATGACCTCCCAGCGCTCATTGACGGAGACCTCACTTTGACATACCGCGAAGTCGACATCCTCTCTTCAGTTCTCTCCAGGCGGATCTTAGAGGCCACGAAGCAGCAAGAAATCCATGCCTTTGTGTCTTTCTGCATTCCTCCGGGGGCCATCGCCATTCTCACCATCCTCGCTATCGTGAAGAGTGGTGCTGCATATGTGCCCCTCGATGTACGCTTCCCTGCAGAACGCCTTGGGTCGCTTGTTCAAGACTGTGATGCATCTCTTGTCATCACCACCTCAGCGTCGCCTTCGTTTAATTTCAACCGCGAGCGTATCGCACACCTGGACGTCACTAGCTTCCTCGACGACTGTAAGTTGCTCGTTGCTGCATCTTCCTGCGAGGAACGCGACGGGTCTGTCTCGCCAGCCGAGTCTTCCAACGACGCCGCCTACGTGCTCTACACCAGCGGCAGCACTGGCAAGCCCAAGAGCGACATCATCAAGCAGTCGTCCGTCGTAGCCTTCGCCACCAACCGCGATATCTTCACGTGGGGCCCAGGACACCGTATTGCGCAGATCAACAATCTGGCCTGGGACGCGAGCGTGGCCGATGTCTGGTGCTCGCTCCTGCTTGGCGCGACGCTTGTATGCTTCGACCGCATTGACGTGCTGAACGCGCCTGCTCTGGCGCGGCGCTTCCAGGCTGCGCACATCGACGGTTTCCTGCTGCCCACGTCGCTCTTCCGCCAGTTCGCGGCCGCCTGCCCGATGTTTTCCACCGGCTCACGGAGATCGTGACCGGCGGAGAGGCGCTCGACTATGCGAGCGTCTGCCAAGCGTGGGCGGCGGCTCCGAGCGCCGTGATCCGGAATGTGTATGGTCCGACCGAGGCGTGTGTGATGGCAACGATCTTCAACGTTTTCCCTGGCGACGACGATGTACCACATACCGGGCCCTTGCCCATTGGTCGCCCACTCAAAACGAGCCAAGTGCTCGTGGTAGACCGCCATAGGCGACTTGTACCGCCGGGCGTCGTCGGCGAGCTGATCATCGGCGGCGAGGGCATCGCCGAGGGGTATCTCAACCGTCCTGCGGATACTGCGGACGCGTTCGTCAAGCTGCGCGTTGATGGGCTACCCGGGAACACAAAGTTCTACTGCACGGTGAGTAGCGGCTTTTCCTGACTTTGGATGTGAACTGACGGGGATTTTTAGGGCGATGCTGTGCGATGGGTCGACGGACAGCTGCAGTTCGTGGGCAGGATGGATGTTCGACAAATCAAGATTTCTGGACAGAGGCTCGGCTTCGGCGAGATTGAGGCCACCATTCTGCGTACCGGACTCGTCGCCGACGCCGGCGTCAGCTGCCACAAGCCGACCGATACTGGCGACCCGAGCCTCGTCGCATATGTTGTCCTCGATCACGAGCGGGCGCCCGAGGTCGATGATCATTTTCAGGACGCACCGGTCACAGCGTCAAACGATGAACATGCAATTGTGGATACATGGAGGGATGTGTATGACTATGTATGCCGCATTTGATCTGTGAGTGTTTTTAATCCCATAGATGTATCTTTTATGCTGATTTTTGCTGGAACACAGGGCAAAGGCACGCGCGGATTTCTCAGGTTGGGATAGCATGATCACTGGAGGGCCCATCCCGCAGGTTGAGATGATTGGTAAGCCAACCTTTTCTCATCACAGTTCAAGCATCTGAGGGATCTGACGAAACTCCTGCGTTGATCAGCATGGCTCCACGACACCCTCCGACCCTTCCATCAGCAACGCCCACGGACCGCCTTTGAGATCGGCTGCGGTATCGGCATCTTCGTTCACCAAATCCTTCCCTCTGTCGATCGCATGTGGGCCAGTGAACCCTCGGCAGAGGCAGCCAAGCGTTTGGAGGATGAGCTGAAGGCACTCGGGCTGGGTGACAAGACATCGATCTAGTATGCCGCGGCCGACGAGATCTCTAAGCTCCCTGCATTCGAGGCGGACTTCGCGTTCATGAACTCTGTTGTTCAGTACTTCCCGTCGGAAGCATACCTGCGCCAGTCTATCGTCGATATTGTCGGCAAGTGCTCCCTCGGAGGCCGAATTCTCATCGGAGATGTGCGAAGCCTTCCCTTCGGCACTCTGCTGGCTCTCAACATTGCGGCCTACCGCTGGCAAGACGAGCTCAGGTCGAAGACTCTCCAGGATCTGCGCGACGACATTCTCGATCGCGAGAAGTACCGGTCGGAGCTGTTGGTTGACCCCTCGTTCTTCACCAGCCTTTGCCACACCATCCCCGCCGTGACACACGTCGAGATCATCCCGAAGGCGATCGAGTACTGCAACGAGCTCAGCCAGTTCCGTTACCAAGTCATCGTTCACGTCAACCAGAAGCTACCCTTGATTGCTCTCCCTGCCTGGCACGACTACGAAGCATTACGATGGAAGGGTTCGGACCTCGAGGACGCAGTGCGGGACTTTGCCGGCAATGAGAACGTTCTTGCAGTGGAGCACATTCCGAATCGATTCCTGTCTTGGGAGCTCGTGGCAGCAACAGCGGTCTTCTCATCTTCGTCAGATCGGTTTGCCGACCTCGCCTCGGTACTTCCTCCACGCAAGGATGCCGCAGCTGCGCAAGGCTGGTCTGCATGGGACCTGGAGCAACTCGCGGGGCAGTGTGGGGTGGCAGTCAAACTCAGCGTTGCGCGTCAGAAGGAGACGACGACTCTGGACGCGGTCTTCATCAAGGGATCCCTCGACGGTGCTGACAGTGGCACCTGTATTGCATTCAAGACCGTCGAGTATGACGATGGGTCTGTCTCTCCGTTTGCCACATCGAGGCTGCAAGAGCTGGTTTTCAGGACGCATCTGGAGAACAATCTTCTTGAACGCCTGAGGGAGGTGCTGCCGTCCTATATGGTCCCCGACCAGCTCTTGTCTGTGGATGCTCTTCCGCTCCAGACAAGTGGGAAGCTGGATCGGAGACAACTGGCAGCGATGGCAGCGAAAGACGGCAGCCGCGATGCTCATAGAGCCGCCGAGGACGATCAGAATATTTTACCCGCGGACGAAGTGGAAGTTCGACTGTGTGCGATCTTCGGCCGCCTGCTGTCGGTTCGAGCAGTTTCACCCCTGGCGAATTCTTCCAAATTGGAGGACACTCGCTGCTTGCGACTCGACTCAAGTCTGCGCTCGAATCGGAGTTCCACGTTGTTGTTCCACTCAGGACGATGTTTGCCCGTTCCACCCCTAGAAAGCTTGCGGCTAGTATCCGCGAGGGCCTCACTTCCGCGCCATTCGACCAGCACATCGGTCTCCCAATGAAGCCTATCCTCTCCCATTCTCGCCCTTCCGAACCGTCTGATGAGCTCTCCTTGGACATGACGACACCATCGGACGGGACCCATTACCAGCTATCTTTCGCCCAACAGCGACTCTGGTCCTCTCGAAACTCGCATATTTCGGATCACAGAACATCTGCTATAATACCCCCTACATCCTGGAACTAAAAGGCCCTCTGAACATCGTCGCTCTCGAGCGCACTATCCAGGAGATCGTCTCTCGTCACGAAATTCTCCGCACTATTTTCGTCGAGGTGAACTATGCACCGGCTACTCGGGTCGTCGATTTCTGTCCCCATCTTGAGATCATACCTGTGGACCCCGATACCGACGAACGAACCATGCGCGCACTCATGGAGGACTGTATCCGTCGCCCGTTCGCTCTCGATCGCGAGCCATCGGTCCGCACAACCCTGTTCCAACTCTCTGAGAACCACTTCCACCTGCTCCTATGCATGCACCACATTATCGTCGACGGCTTTTCGTTCGACGTCATTCGCCAGGAGCTGGCGGAGATCTACGTCGCCTTCGAGGCCGGTAAGGACCACGAGGTCCCTCCACTTCACATTCAGTACAAGGAATTTGCACAGTGGCAACGGTCGGAAGACTTCGAGCGTATGGTGCAGCCTCAGCTCGAGTATTGGACGAAATACCTCAAAGGCAACCAGGCGGCAGAACTGCCAACGGACTTCCCACGACCCCAACATCTCAACTACGAGGGGAAGGCATACATTGCTGAATTCCCCCCGGAGCTTTTCACTCGGCTGGGACAGGTATGCAGGCAGGAACGCGTGACGATGTTCATGCTCCTGTCGGCCGCCTTCCGCATGGTTCAGTTCCAGCTCACCGGTCAGACAGACGCCTCCTTCGCCTTCCCCATCGCCAATCGCAATCAAGCCGAGACCGAGAGGCTCGTCGGGTTGTTCGTCAACACGCAAATTCTCCGGCTGAAAGTGCGTCCTGGGATGACGTTTCTGGAGCTGATTCAACAAGTGCAAGACCTGCCGATGGCGGCGTTCGAATATCAGGACCTGCCCTTCGAGCGGATCGTCTCGATTCTCAATCCGACTCGGTGACCTCAATCGCAACCCGTTGGTGCAGATTATCCTCGCTTACCAGACTGTGAAGACTGCGCCATTCAATATAGGAGACGTCCATGCTTCCAATCCGCGAATTAATATGGATACGACGAGGTTCGACATGGAGATCCATTTCTTCCCCAAGGGCGACGGCCTGGCTGGCCAGTTCGTGTACTGCACCGATTTATTCAAGGAGGAGACCATCGTTGACTTGACGGAGCGGTTGCAAAAGGTTTTGGAACAGGCCGTCGACAATGTACGCTTCGCTATCAATCCGCCGCGGTCCTCTTCGACGCTTCGCCAGCCGACTCCATCTGACGTAGCAGCGTACCTGCGCGACTATGTCCCTTGCGAGTTCCCTCTCGACATGCCCAGGTGTTCGGACAATGCATCTCCACAGCGAGGGACGCATTCCTTCGTCTTGCCACCAACCGTCCGCGATACGCTTCGGGCCTCGTCGATAGGCGGGGAGGAGCTTCTCACGCTGTACCTCACTGCACTCTCCGTGCTGAACCACCGGTACACTCGCCAAGAGGATATCACGATCGGTGCGTTCTCTTACCTTTTTTCGTGCGGGAGATGAGCTAACCTTCATGCTCAGGGCTTGCGACGAGCAAGTCACTGGATATCACTCCCGCTCGGCTTACCGTTTATCGCGATGCTGCACTCTCAGCTGCTCGCGACAATGCGCAGACTTCGGTAGAGAAGGCATCCGAGTTCTCTGCCGTATCTATCAAGGATATATCCACCGCTGTACGGAGACGACAGAAGTCGTTGACGTCTGCCATTTACGTCGTGCTCTCCCACAAGTCAAGCAATGCGTCTTCAAGGGAGCTAGGGTTCGTTATCTCTTCACTATACTGTATGCCTGTCGATTGATTTGTTTTATCAGCTTGCTAGTCGACCTTGAGCTCCGCTATGGAGAGGTCAACGAGCCTGATTACCAACTCATCTACGACCAGTCTCTCTTCTGGCTCAATACCATCGAAGTGTTCTGCGAGAACTTTGTGGACATTCTCGAGACCATTCTTCTCCGTCCTGACACGGTGGTCGAGGAGATTCCATTCCAGAATTCGGCGAAGCACTTGAAACGATTTGGTGTCCCGCTCGCCCTGCCTCCGCCGATATGCCCCCTCGTCGATGCTCTCAAGAAGTCTGTGGATGCGTACCCCGACATGCTGGCCCTCCAGGAGAGAGAATTCTTGCTGACATATAGCCAACTGAACACGGCCACGTCCTTGCTGGCACAGAAGATCGTACAGGTATCAGGAGACGCGTGCGAGTTCGTCGCAATGTGCATCCCCCCGTCAGCCCTCGCTGTCATATCCATCCTCGCCATCGTCAAGGCCGGAGCCGCATATGTGCCCTTGGACGTCCGCTACCCTCCAGAGCGTCTCGAGATGCTATTGCGCGAGAGTGGTGCAGGTCTATTGATCACGACCTCGCAGTCGCCAGACTTTGCCGGCGACGCGGAGGGTATCACTCGCCTCGACATCTTCAACTTCCTCGCCGAGATCGACCTCGCCTCCTCCGTCAACTTCGTCTGCGCTCCTCGCACGGATGCTGCCTATGTCATGTACACATCTGGCAGCACTGGTGTGCCGAAGGGGATGGTCATCATGCAGTCCGCAGTGGTCGCACTGGTCTCGAACACGGATGTCTTCCCGTTCCAGCCTGGCGACAGGATCGGGATGATCAACAACCTCGCATGGGACGCCAGTATCATCGACATATGATGCACACTACTTACCGGCGCCACGGTCGTCTGCTTCAATCGATACGACGTTCTGGACCCGGCCGTTCTTGCGGGGCATTTCCAGTTGTTTAGCATCACAGGCTGCTTCATGTCCGTTGCACTATTCCGCCAAGCCCTCGATCTCGCACCCCAGCTTTTCCGCAAGCTCCGCATTCTGCAGATCGGCGGAGAGGCGTCTTACTACGAGAATCCCCAAAGTGTGAAATCTGTTAACCCGTCGATCCGCATCCTCAACGCCTACGACCCCACGGAGACTTGTGTCTTCGCCGCCACGTTCTGGACTGACGTTGCCAACATGCCCACGTCTGGATCAGTTCCCATTGGCTTACCAATGTCAACCGCTCAAGTTCTCATTGTCGACACACAGGGTCGGCTTGTGCCCCCGGGCGTGGTCGGTGAGCTGGTGGTCGGTGAGCTGGTGATTGGCGGTGCTGGTGTCGGTCCGGGGTATCTGAGGCGGCCGAAGGAGTCGGCCGAGGCCTTCGTCGAGCTTGGGTTCGATGAACTCAACCCAGGTGTGGCTTGGTATTACCGCACGGTACGTCGCCTCCGCTTGTCCTTCCCTTACGTGTCTCATTCTTCGTGCAGGGTGACGCTATGAGATGGGGCCCGGATGGACAGTTGCATTTCGTCGGGAGGATGAACGCTGGCCAGATCAAGATCCGCGGACAGCGGCTGGAGCTCTCGGAGATCGAAGTGGCCATTCGCCAAACCGACTTGGCCAACGATGCCGTCGTCGTCCATCTCAAGTCCCACAAAGGCAAAGACGATCTGCTCATTGCATACACTGTCGCTGCTGCACCAACATCGGCCTCGCAATCTCATTCCCTCTCACCACGACTCCTCGAGTCGCTGCGCAAGAGTCTTCCGTCGTATATGATTCCCCATCTCGTGCGCTGGATCCCGACTCTTCCTCTGACGCCTAACGGCAAGGCGGACCGCCATCAGCTCCGAGCCCGTGCTGCGACCGACGTCGATAGCATGCTGAACGATGACGCAGAGGAAGACGGATCAGGCGAGCCTGAAGATGAGGTCGAGAAACGGCTCTGTAGGATCATGGAAGCCCTTCTCGGTTGCACATCTATTCGTCGATCCACGAACTTCTTCGATGCGGGCGGCCATTCGCTCCTTGCCTCCCGTTTGGTCTTCCGAATGCAAGAAGCTTTCGACATCCCGTTCGCTCTAATGGACGTGTTCCACTCGCCCGTAGTCAAGGCAATGGCGGGCAAGATCAGGCAGGCGATCGCCGCTAGGCCAGTTGATCAAATATCGACGACACCTCCGACGCTTGCCCCGGTATACGAGGAGTTCCACGTACCCCCTGTGCTCGTCTTTTCTGAGGAGCCTCGCAAGCCATTCTTGTTCTGCGTTCCCATGGCCACTGGTCTCGGCCACACGTTCGCTGCGCTGTCTCGCTCCACCGACTTGTTCAACGTCATAGCTCTCAACGACCCTGGGTATGTCGCACCCGACGACTTCCCTCAAGACCAGGTGTCGACAGGTCACGCCAACACCTTGCGCAATCCGGGCATGCACACCGTCGAGAACCACGCCAAGTACTACTATGCGCGTATTGTCGAGGAGCTGGCCCGCATCGGTACTACCAAGCCCGGCGCCGCACCGTTTAACATCTTAGGCTACTCCTACGGTGGACACGTCGCAGTCGAGGTGGCGCGCCTCGCGCAGGACGAGGGCTGGACCATCAACCTCTTCGTGCTTGACACGTCGGTGCACCCGGTGCATGAGGCCAAGCTGTCGCAGACGCAGATTGAAGAGGCCGCGCATGTTGTCCTACCGACTGTGATGAGCGTCGTCAAGCTGCCGCTCGGCAACATGGGAGAGCAAGGTGCACGTCTGAAGCACGACATCGAGGTCCGCACCCTCACCAACATCCATACGCTCCATGCGCATGTGATGCCGCGGTACGAGGGGCATGTCACGCTGTCCCGTACGGAGTCGAATTCTGGCCACGGCTTCGTCCCGCTTGTTGGCTCGTTGGACGAGGTTCTCTTGCACGGGAACCACTACCACCTACTCGAAGAAGAATCTGGGAATCTGTCCGTGATTAGTGCTAAAGTTTCTGCAGTCCTCAATGCATAGGTCTCGTCGTCTCTGGTCAGTTGTAACTGTTGTAAATCTTGCTGTATTGCACCGTTTCCGCTGTATAAATAACATCGAGTTCATCTTCGCCGAAATGCGGACAGTTGGTCTATTCATGACTCAAGCCCCAGAACGCAGAGCCTATCGTCAGCTAGCATGGCACGCCCCTACGAATGCCTTCATTGCAGCGACTGCGCGCTATGGATTGTTGGCGCTGTAGAGTACAGTCAGTACAGAATGTGTGATAGGTCTGCCAGGATGTTCACAGAGTAAGCACCCCAGTCATCGAAAGGTGTGCCCGACTGAGCAGTGGTGGTGCCTTGGCATTCATGCGCGACTTTACAGCAGCACTGGTGTGTGTCCCGCCTCGTAACCGTTTCTCCATGATAGTGCGTGGTACCTTGGCAGTAACGATCCACTGGCACTCGACAACGTTTTGCTAAAGCAAAGCTCGAAGATACTTCAGTAAGAGCTTCGATACACTCAGAATCGGTCCAAGAGAGAGAGGGCGGAGGGACGGAGCTGATTAAGGAACTAGGGTCATGGCCGCCCCATGCGTTTTGTCAGTCTCGAAGCTGGTAAAGTACTTTTTGTATCCTCCTACCACACAGCGCTACTCAGCAAATTCTTTGAGGACCCGGCTTTCCGCCTTGTTGGTGATAGAGATTAGGACATCGGCACTCGGCAGCGAGGCGTTGTCGTTGCGGGCTCCCCACGAAGGAGTAAAAGACGAATGGGATGGCGGAAGGGGAGGCCTTAGGGCGTGACTTTGCCTGTAGCTTGGCGGGTCGTCGCTGGAGTTGTCGCTTCGCATGAGTTTGTACTGCAGCACACATCGTATCTAGGAGGCCCACGAGCCAACGAGTTGACCAGCCGCTTAACCTTCCCCCCTTCCCATCTCAATCTCTACACGGAGGAACGACGGTACCTCGGTGCACAGCCAGGATTTGCACAGATGCTCATCAGACGTTCTAGATGACCATGGTTGCCTTGCCACAAAAGCCGTTCATGTTACGCCCCGAGGAACGCAGCTTGCCGCGCTGCCATCGTCAATGAGTACGCCAAGGAGATCGAGGCGCTCTACGCTGCAGCAGACAAAGCACCCAAGGACGACCTTATCCCGCCTTCATAGTGGGCATATGAGCCGGCTAAGGATTTTGTCCACACAGTGGTGACCTGTGTGCTCGAGTACAATATCGGCGACGACAACAATAATATCTTCCGGTACGGCTGCGACAGCCTTGAGACGACATGGATCAGGAACGTGCTGCTGCACGCGCTGCGCGACACAACCAAGTTCGACACATGGCAGGTCCCGGGCAACTGTGTGTACCAGAATCTGACCACTGGTGCACTAGTGACGTTTGTTGCTAGCCTTGCGAACGGCGAAGCCGGTTTAAAGCAGGAGCACGCTGTAGCATTCATGAACAGTATTGCCGAGAAATAAGCAAACGATTTTCTGCGCCAACCGCGGACGTATGCGAGCCATTATCGTATCACCAAGCTGTGGCACATGTGAATCAGACATGTATTGATCAAGTGCATGCATACAAAGCAATGTACTGGTACAGAGAGTGTTACAGAGCAACAGATGGAAGGCGAAGAGTGCCATCAGCAGCGGCAGAGCTGGTAACAATCTGCTTAGCATAAGGCAGATTTGGAGACTACAAGATTTGATAGAGATAAGAAAACGCTGCACTGCACAAACTATGACTCACCTGGTCAGCTTGCTCTCGAAGCTGCTTGGCCACAGAACCAGTTTGTACTACCCCCAGCTTTTCCTGGGTCAGCATAAGCTGAGTCTTGTGGAAATGAGATGCAGATTCAAATACAAAAATGTAAGCGACCACACCTGAGTAGGCTGCGCCTTCCCCTTTCCTGCCCGGCGGTGGTGGGGTGCCATAGGCGACATGGGTGCTGTAGGCGACTTCTTCTTCCTCAAAAAACCCTTGGGCCTCAAAACCTTGCAGGCTCCAAGGCAGACAATGTCTGGATCTTCGACTGAGGCTGGCAAGGGGGACCGGTGGTCCTCAGCTTCATTGTCTGATGGCATGACGGTTGAGATGAAGTTCATGGCGAGGCTGTCAACCGATGATGTCAGTGCACTTGGGAGCTCTGCACTGGCTGGGGTCCTGATGGGCTCAACAAAGCAGACCCCATAAAGACGTAGTGTAGGCGATCAACGCAACACAACACAGCGCAACGACCATTTTTCAACCTCAACCCACACTGCCCACCGGTGACTAGTGACTCCTAACTGCCTGCAGCAACTGTTCGACCCACGACACGACCCACAACGGCCGCAAAGGCTGCTTGTCCCACAACGACTGTCCCTGGCAACTGCCTGAACGACTGCCGCAACTTCCGCCGCCCTGCGCAACTACCCTGAGCGACTCCCCAAGTGACTGCCCCCAGCAACTACCCCCAGCAACTGCCCCGCCACCCTGCGCAACTGCCCCAATGGCTGCCCGCACTCAGGGCTATGAGTGAACTTCTGCACCTTTCACTCTGCAGGTCCGTGTCGCACGCACTTCGCGGCTCTCTTCTTTCTTAATGCAAACGTGCGTTTTAACGCTTCTTACCCAGGTGGCGGACCCGTCGAGATTGGGAGTGGGATCGGGGGCTTGGCGTACTCCTGGGTGCTCGGCCGCCGCACCGAGCGCGAGCTGCTCAACTTCCGGCCGCACAACGTCTCGCTCGTCGGCCTCGGCACAAACCTCCGCGCCGTGCTCGCCGTCTGGAACTCGATGCCCGCCGCGGCGTTCGGCGGCATCATCTGGTGCTTCCTCGACTATCGCGTCGAGCGCAAGCTGTCCATGGTCGGCTTCTGCTCGGGCACCATCGCCGGCCTCGTCGCTGCCACGCCGACGTCCGGCTACGTCCCCCTCTGGGCCTCCGCCATCACAGGGACGATCGTCGGTGCGGTGTCGAACTACGCCACCAAACGTGCGCACCCCTCTCTTCCTTCTCCTCCTCCTCCTTCCCCGCTCATCCTGACAGGCGCCCCCTTGCACAGTCAAGTTCTACCTCCGCATCGACGACGCGCTCGACCCCGGCGCGGAGCATGCGATGGGCGGCATCATCGGCCTGCTCCTCAACGGCCTCTTCGCGGACAAGAACCTCGTCGCGCTCGACGGCGTCAGCGCCGTGCCCGGTGGCTGGCTCAACCACCACTACCGCCAGCTCTACGTCCAGCTCGCCTGCGTGTGCGCGACCGTGGCTACACCTTCGTCGTCACCGCGCTCCTCGCCATGGACGACGTCCAGGTGGGTCATTCCCCTTCTCTTCGCGGCTCTCTTCTTTCTTCTCAATGCAAACGTGCATTGACAATATAGTCGGCACAGAAACCCCAACCCCGGGACCCTCTGGTGCTGCTGACCACTGACCAAGCATAGAATTTGGCTGCAATAGGCTGCTCTGCTTTGTACTAGTGTATATAAGCTTCCTAATAAATTTTACTGAATTTATCATTTTCGGCACAATTTTCTTTGGCTCTGGTATGGTCTTGATCTTGGGCCGGGCCCGCTGGGACTTGAGGCATTGAAGACGGCAACTTTGGAAACTTTTCCGTCATAAAAGAAAATTCCGGTGAGCAAAAAGTCAAAAGTCAAAAGTCAAAAGTATCCGGCATAAAGTCAAAAGTCAAAAGTATCCGGCATAAAGTGAAAAGTAAAAAGTATCCGGCATAAAGTGAAAAGTAAAAAGTATCCGGTATAAAGTGAAAAGTAAAAAGTATCCCGTCTATCTGTTGAGACAGAAAGCTTACGGTATGCCGGTTGAATAAAAAAGCACCCGGTCAGCACAGAAGATTTACATTGTGCTTACAAACAAGGAATCTACGGTCAACGCAAGTCAGTCACACAAGTCATCGCCAGGAATACTACAATTCTTCGGTTTGTTACACTTTGGATACGAATCTGCGGTTTAAACCTACATCTATGCGGTTTGAATTTTTGAACACATTTACCGCCATATGAGTAGACCTCCTGTGCGTAACATACTGCCGTGTATCAGCTCCACTTGTACTGCATAACTCCGCCTATAACATGCGACAGTTTGAGCAAAACGAGCACCTGTCAGTTAAACAACTCGCGAAGTTGCAGCTGGAATACATACTGGGACCTTTTAGGCTTTTGCTGTAAAGCAGGTATGCCCATGAGAACGCCAGTCTGAGTCTGCACGGCATGGCGAAAAGTTCTAACTGAGTGCGAACTGTTTGAGTCCTGGAGAATCCAAGGTATCAGCACTCCGGAGCAACGGCATTTTTGAGGTAGGCTGCCCTACCATGGCGTGTGTGTAGATGTCAAAGAATGAGCTCCAGAGAGTTGCGGTTCTATGGTGATGCATGCAAGAGCCAAATCCTGTGTACAAATGCATGGCAAATGTTAGGTGGAATGTTGACACACAGAAGAGCCTGTGAAGTTTCCTACACTCTGAGGGCTTTGGGTGACGGCGCGCTTATCATTGACGCATTCCGAGGGTAATGGAGTCTGAATGACCGTTTTAGCGACCTCTGACACAGTTCAGGTAGGCTAAAGCAGATGTCCGATGGCATCACTAGTAGGTATGAAGTCATACCTATAGCGCAGGCCTCACGGGATGACAGCAATTATTCACTTGACGCCGTGGTTCTGACAGGTGCGGAAGCGGGATGCAGGCGTCGAAGAAGCAGTGCTCAGAGTCACTGTGTTCGTCGCTTACAGAATATTATGTCGCTATCGTTTGTAATATATTATAACGACTCTGATCCTCTTGCTAATGGAGATCATGCTATAAACACAATGTCAGCCTAGCTTATAGCTACGATCCTGCTATTACTTTCCAACTAGCGGGAGCTAGAACGCACAAGTCGGGGAGATCTAGGCAAGGGGTTCAGATTGAGTCCAAATCACCACGCCTCGGCGTAACTCCATATTCCGCGCGGTGATAACTCATTGTAGTGCCTTAATTATGTAAGTCTGGTGTCAAATACACTTTCGCGGAAGAAGCTTGTACAACGGAAGTAAAAGCCCTACACAAACGGTCCCAGGTGTACCATTTCTGCCAATGCTTAATGCTTAACTGTTGGAATCATAAAAACCAGGTAGCGTGGATGTCTAGGTACCGCGTTGCCTTCGTTGAGCTGAAACTCAGGGAGCTTTACTTGCATTGTCTCTTGTCATGCACCTCTGGGAGAGTAGCACACGCCGTTGAATGAAGAAGACGTCGAAGAAACTGGCAAGCGCGCACCGCCTCTAACACAGAACAGAATGCAGGCCGAAAAGCAAGAATCGAGAACTCTAGAGGTCACTGCACTGTGCTCCCACTCCAATTCCGAGACGACGCATGACCCTGCCTGAGGTCAGAGGGGACAAGAAAGTTTGAGTCAAACTGGCAGATGTTGCGAACTCAAGTCGCGTACAGTATTTCGCAGCTCCGCTTCCGCTTTGTATCCGTGCTCGCATCAAGGCTACAAGTTCCCATGATACGGCCGGTAAGGTATCACGTACAGACCGGCGGCCGGCGAGAGACAACTGGTACATTCGCGTGTGCTTCGTGAGTCATGCACCGAGCGACAGGCCCGCTGGG